CAATAGAGGAAGTAGTGAAAATTCATCAGTTTATGGGGTTGGGACATATGTTATGTATGCCTAACCACCAACTGCCTCGACGACCTATGTTTTCGATGTAGGAATAGCTTAGACGATAGCTAGGGGCTGCCAGACCAAAACATGGCAGAAATCCATGAAGTCATTGACGAGTGGACTTAGCCATGTCAGTAGATGTAGGCTACCTGGCTGGTGTCCGCGAGGAGAAAGTTACCAATGGTTAGAGACCTTGAACGACATGGCTCAAAATCGTTTGCAATGGCGCAGGTGCATTCATTCAATGTGTTCTCTCAAATTCTAACCTTCTGAATTCCTCATCATGTCTGTCTTTCTCTTTCTAAATTTATCTCACTGAATTATACTTCTCGAATCTTATATTCGAACTCTAATCCTCTCCATTACTACTAATACCTCTACTTTCGCTACCACTATTGGATTTTAATTGACAGTTGAGTCTATGTGCTGATGCGTTATGGAAACCAGAACTGATGTACGTACGTACGAAGTTCTACATTGTAACTGACTGACTAATGACCATGTTTCACAACCGATTGGGACCCTTACCAGGTTACTGACGGTCTCAAGTTCGTAAACAGGAGGAAGGTTGTGTATGAGGTTATCGACCCCATCTCGCAGTAAACAAACTTGCTATAAACACACTAACAGAAGCAAATAATTCAAACCACTCAAGCTCTGCCCTGAGAGTTTGGAGGGTTAAAGTACATGATGGTGAGAGCAGAGTATGTTCGGAAGTCACGAGACCAAAGCCCGATTACATTTCACACCCATAAAATAGAGCAGAGTGAACTGCTGTATAGTAAACTCGTCTTCTAATTAGCAGAACTCTGCCTGTAGACCCCTCGGGGCCACTGCTCTTCCGAAGGCCGGATAAAGTAGGACTATTAGGGAAGGGGTTGGCGATCCCATTCCGGAAAAACTGATGTAGTAATAATCACTGGCTATTTTAATGCTCACGTAGGTAGACTCAGAGAAAAGGACAGATACCTAGGTGGATCTTATAGTGTCGTGGCTTAGAGAACAGATAATGGCGACCGTCTGCTGCAACTATGCTCAGATAACTGCCTATTCTTAGTGAACACTAACTTTAAGCATAAGGAAAAACATCTCTTGACCTGGCAACCCCCAAAACCGATCAAACGATGGACCCAACTAAATCACATCGTTATAAGCCATCGGTGGAGAAGCTCTATTGAGGACTGCCACTCATTCTGAAGTACTTGTTTAGACTCAGATCATGCCCTAGTGCGAACGCATATTTGTTTGCGTCTCACTGAATGTGGGAAAAATATCACAAGGAAAATTCTAAGGGCTCTACGTGATGATAACAGAGCCAAGAATACATTTCAGTGACAGCTAGAAAAACAGTTAGGCAGTCATGTAAATGATTCCCATTCCGAGGCACCTAGGGATGATAAACAAAAGGCTCTGAAAACAGCAGTGATATCTGCTAGTAAGGTAAGTCATAAGGCTAGGAAGAAGCCGTAGATCTCAGTAGCATCCACTGAACTGATAGATGCTCAGAAACTCATCCCGTCTGGCTGTGAACATGATGACGAGCGAAATCAGTTTAAGCACAGGCTGATAAAAGGCTTACGCAATGATTGAGAACAGTAGTTGGTGGAGAAAGCAAGAGAGATGAAAAAGGCATAGGCCATAGGAAATCTGAAGCGAGGGAGAGCAACAGGTCCTGATAGGTTGACCCCTGAGATTTCTAAGGATAGCGGTCCAGTTTTAGCAGTTAGATTGACTGAGATCTTAGGTAGAATCTGGGAACTGGACGTAATCCCATCCAATTGGTCTCAATCCCTGATTGTCCCAATTTATAAGAAAGGACAAAAGTCTTCTTGTGGTAATCACAGGGGGATAAGTCTAACTAATATAGTTTCTAAATTTTTAGCCTCAGTTTTCCTTAGACGCCTAACTAGGACTCGTGAAGAGCAGACTAGAGAAAACCAGGTTGGTTTCAGACCCGGACGTGGCTGTATAGACCACATTTTCACACTACGACAGGTCCTGGAACACAGACACACATTTAGGCGTCCTACAATAGTTGTCTTCCTGGACCTGAAGGCGGCATTCGACTCAGAGTATCGTGAGGTTCTGTTGCAGTGTCTGTCATTGATAGGTGTACCAAATAATTGCATTAACCTTATAAAGGCTCTCTAATTGAACACCACTGGTCGAGTGAGAGCTTATGGTGAACAGTCATCGGAATTGGTTACTTCAAGTGATGTTCGTCAGGGCTGTCAACTTTACTTATTCTTATTTAATTTTATCATTGAAGTGTTTTTAGATACGACATTTTCATCATCTGACTGTTTAGGAGTTGAACTTTTTCTAGGAGATTCGTTTGTGCACATAGAATATACACATGATATAGTTCTGTTTGGGGAGGACGCTGACAAACTAAACACCTTAAGAAAGAATGCAAATATATTCATGATGCTATTCTCTCACTCGAAATGCAAACTGATGCTTCTGGAATGGCTTGTGTTGGCACCTGATCTAGTGATGAGTCAGTCAGTTACAACACAGAACTTCGTACGTAAGTACACAAGTTCAGGTTTCCATACCACATTCGCACACACAGATGAAATTCTCAATTAAAATCCCATAGTAGTAGAGGTAGTAGAAGCATTAGCAATAATAGGAAAGATTAGGGTTCGAAGATATTATTCAAGAAGTAAAATCCAATGAAATAGATTTGCGACGAGGAAGATGAAGGTCAAACGAGTTTAAGTTAGAATTTGGGAGAATACAAAGAGTGCATGCACCTGTGCCATTGCAAACGATTTTAAGATATGTCATTCAGGGTCTCTAACCATAGGTTAATATCGTCTTGCGCACCCCAACCAGGTAGTATGCATTTACAAACATGGCTCAGTTCACTTGTCAGTGACATCACGGATTTATGCCATGTTTTGTTCTGGCCGCCAACCTCCTCCGACGAGGTAGTCGGTGGTTGGGTATATGTGACACATGTCCCAACTACCTCAACTGATGACATTTCAATACTTCATCTATTGATCTGCCATCCTTACCTAGCACCCGTTTTCTAACCACAGCATTGCTTACTCGGTCGTCTCAGGATACACGAGCAATGCTTCGGAGACACCTATGATTGAAAACCAGTGACTTACGAATATCTACTCTGACTGGTCATGTTTCACAGCCATAAAGTAGGACGGAGCAAACTGCTGCACAATAGACTCGTCTTTTGATTAGCAGACGGATATCTTGCACACGTCATAAGTGATGCAAGTCGGCATAAGCCAATCGAGATACCTGCATCTGTGCTGAAATTTCGTCACACACAAAGCCATCACCACTGATGACAGACTCAAGATAAGTGAGGCAGTCGGTACGCCCAACTGCCTAACTCCATATCCCTAGTTCAGATGCCAATGCAACCCAAACCTGATGCAACATCTCGCATTTTCATGGGAGAATCGCATTTACCGAATATACTTCAATTACTGTTGCTTTCACAGTCTTCTGAATATCATCTCTAGTTGCCTCAAGGTAGGCATCATTTACATGGTTTTTTAACTGTTTTTTCTAGTTTCTATTGAGATGTCATCTCGACAGATAAATACGTGCTCGGACTAAAGCATGATCTGAATCTAAACATGTGCTCCAGAATGAGTAGCAGTCTTCTATCGAGCCTCTTCATCGGTGGTTGATATCATTGTGGTTTAGTTGGGTTCAAAGAAGAGTCAATTTTTGGGGGGTGTCATGTTAAAAGATGTTTCTCTTAATGCTTAGATTGGGTATTTGGCAGAAATAGGTGGTACCTGAGCATAGTTGCACCAGACGGCCGCCACTTTCTGCTCGATGCCATGAGATCCACCCAGGTGTATTTCAGTCTCGCCTAGTTTACCTATTTTAGCGTTAAAGCCACCAGTTAATATTATAACATCAGAGCGCCTAGCTTCTTGAAGAAAGTTGGAAGGCTTTCTGTAAAATTCACTTTTTACCTTACCTGAGCTCCAATTAGTAGGGGCGTAGGTAGAGGCAACGAAGAGGGAACAGATTATCCTGATCTTTCCGAGTTAGTAGTCTCGTTTAGTCGGACAGCGTAGAAGTGACTGTTTACAGGAATCCAGTCTAACAGACCTAGTTCTACTTTTGAACTCAATGCTATACCTACACCACAGAGGGCACAGAAAGTAACATTTAAATGTCTAGATACACGAAGGGTAAATCATGATGGCTTTTTGTGTTGACGAGATGAGGTTAGATAAATTATTCTACTCGGATCCAGTATGCGCGTTTCGGAGGTCCTTCGGGGCTACTGCCGGCCCCAAGCCCAGATAAAGGAGGAGGGTTGGCGACCCCATCCCATGGAAAACTAACTAGCTAAAAAAAACCCTAACAGGAAAGAATGATTCAAACCATTTAAACTCTGCCCTTTATTTCGAAGAGTTATAACGTCTCATGGTGAAAGCCAAGTTCCTTTGGAAGTGACGAGGCCGATGCCACTTCTGATAACCAGAGCCCTTCCAGTATATAAATACTTCCACGGTGTAGGGAACCGGGACGTAACATTCTTCCTCATATCTGTAAAAGCACGCGAGACTAAATCGGTCACAATCAAATCCTTTCTACATCTAAATTCCCAGCTAAGGAAGCCTGTTATCCTATTTGACACAAGGTTCCAACACTAAAAGCCTCAGTATCTAATTTAGGGTGAGATTTCACGAGACCAAGAATAACATTCCATGTAATCAAATCGTTAGCATTATAGAATCTCAGAGTGATAAAGGAAAGGAGAGAAAGGTTAGTTGTGGAGACGCAAGAGAGTTATTAAAAGCTATAGGAAGGAATTTATTGTGACCAAATTGATTTCGTATGCTTTTTACGAATATGAGAGCGGATATCACTTAGCAAACATAGAATCTAATGGAAGACAAAATTAATATAAATGTTTGCGGACTAAAAAACAATATGTAATGACTTACTCGCCAAAACGAGTCCAAAGTACATGTTTGTGAACCTAAAGCAGATTGCACAATGCAACCGCCAACTTTTGCGAGTAGAGGAGATGCCATTGTGAATTACTAAATAAATCCTGAATTATTGCCAAACCAATAAGTCATACTGAATACAAATACCATTAAAAATTGACCTCTAATGTCCTTTTTCAAGGTCAAGTCAACCACCAATCAAATGCTTCCCTGAGCTTATTCTGATTGGTACATATCAACAATGTTAAGCAACTGACCAATTTGATTAGTCAGGGAGTTTTTGCAACCATTTGAAGCTCAATCTTTTTAACGATAGTTTATTTTAATTTATTAAGATAAAAATGATTTAAACAGACAACTTTGACATTGATTTCTTGCCCTGCTCTATATCTATCTGTCAATCAGAGAAATCAAAGAAAACATCATAGTTTTCAAAAAAACCAACACATTAATATATATTTTGGGTGTTTTTTTTTCGGCAGATTCATTACAATACTATACAAGTTAATTAATCAGTTAATAGAGAATAAGTTGTTTTTTAAAACGTTTTTTTTAGATTTTTGATTATTATTATGATTATTATTACTATTATTATTATATAATTATGTTTCAGGTATTAAATATGATGACTAAAACATAAAGTGAACAGAATAACAGAAAATAAGAATTCATCATTAAAACTCAACATTAGATTCACAACTGAATAAAACATGTTCAAAATGAAATCTCAAGAAAAAAAAGATGTAACATTTAAATTGAATTTGATAAGAATAAAATGAATAATGAGAAAAAAATGGTGAGAAATAAACTTCACAGACAACAGGGTGACTAGGAGGCGTTTGCCAATTCCTGTATCCACTACAAATTCACAAACTGAATGATTAAAAACATTGTTTTTTCTGAAGAAAGTAAACACATATGTTGTAAAGACAGCAGTATTCCATAGTCAAACATCATCAGAACTAAACAGAAAAATGAGGAATCAACGATACGGGAGCGGTCGACTGTCATCTAATACTGTCTTCATATATGCTTACTAATTCATGTGGTGAATTTGTAGCGGAAACAGGAACTGACCAAAGCCCCGCTTGTCGTCTACAAGGTTTGAATCTTCACTTTGTTTGCCCTATTCATTTTATTCTGATCAAATTCAATTCAGTTTGTTTTATGTCTATGTCTATTTACTTAGTTAAATTTTTCTTTGGCTTCAAAGAAAAATTTGATGATGTTTGATGTAGATGAGATAAATTTGTTAATGTATCCGATGGTAGCGAACTTGACTGATTCAATGATGAAGTCGATGCCGAGGTTGATGATGACGCTGATGCCGATGCTGATGCCGATGTTGATGACGATGATAATGATGATGCTGATGATAATGATGATGACGCATTATTATTATTCAATGTAAATGACCTTGACTTATTATTGGTTGTTTTAAATGATACTTGTAATATTCTATTATTCAATATAAATCCATTCAATGAATGTATAGCTAGTACAGCCTCGTCATAATTACTCATTGTAACAAATGCAAAACCTTTACATTTATTATTAATTGTATCATAAATTATTTTAATTGTTTGTACAGCACCAAATGGACCAAATAATTGCCATAAATGTGATTCTTCAATTTCCGGTGCTAAATTATACACAAATATACACCAACCATTTGGGGTTAAACCACCAGAACTGGCTACAATAGCTGGTGCTAAAATAGAATTACTCATTGCTGCAGTACTAGCAGCAGCCATACTAGAAAAAAAATTAGTTTCATTGGAACTAGGCGATGTAATGGAATATTTTAACAGGTTGGATATTTTCGCTATTTGTTGTTGTAATGGATTGAATAGCGCTGTGTCGATTGCTGCTTTAGTGGCGCTTCGTGATGATGATGACGCTGTTGCTGCTGACGAGGATGCTGCTCCGGCTGTTCCCGTTGTTCCAGGTGCCGCGGCCGCTGCAGCTGCTGCTGCCGCTGCCGATGATGCTGATGAATTCATAGTCGATGTTGCAACAGCTTGTAATTGTGCAACTTTTTTCAATAATACTAAACTAAGATTATCAAGTTTCATTAAACTTGGTGAATTGGCAAATTTCACTGTAATTGGTTTATTCAATAATAAATTATTTGAATAATAATCAGTAGGTAACTGATAACCATTTAATTGTTGTATAGCCAGTTCAGCTTCATAACGATGATCAAAACGTACAAATGCTACACCACGTGATATACCTGTCTTATTATCATATAATATACGTGCTGTTATAATACGTCCATATTGACTAAATAATTGTTCTAATTCATTTTGTGTCATTGTTTTTGGTAAACCACTCACATAGAGATTAGCACCTTTAATTGATTCACAATTTGGTCGAGCTAGTGAGACTTTAATTGTTTTATTTTGTATTGATAAACCATTTAATGTATGGATTGCATGTTGTGCTTCATTTGGATGTGAATATTTTACAAATGCATAACCTAAACTTTCACCAGTTGATTTTTCACGTATTAATTTACAACTTTCAATTTTACCACATGTGGAAAATAACAGTTTCACTTCTTCTTGTGACATATAAGGTGGTAAATAATTAATAATTAAATTAGTTTTATCATGATTTGTGTTTGTATTATTGCTATTGGTATTATTGTTGTTATTATTATTATGACTACTAACATTGTTTTCAGTAGTTAAATTTCTATTTCTTAAATTATTCCCAATTGAAGTGGATGGATGTAATGAGGAATGGGTTAGATCACTTCCATTTAGTTTATTATGATCACGTGATGTAGTATCATTCTTATTATCAGTAGTAGTAGTAGTAGTACTTGGTGATGTAGGTATACTGTTGTTATTAGTGATGTTAATCGTTGTAGTAGTAGTAGTAGCGGTAACAGTAGTGGTAGTAGTCGCAGTGGTAGTAGTAACAGATTTTCTATTAGTTAGTATATTTAAACATTGACTAAATAAATATGAAGAATCCGTTGAACATGATGGAGACATGTATGTTCTATGATCATGATGCAATTGTTTTTGTCTTTGATGATGTGGCGATGGCGATTCAATGACATTTGATTGAATCACAGCATTAAGCGGTATAGTAGTGACAGTTGCTGTTGTAGATGTTGTTGTTGCTGAACATGATTCTTGTGATTTTATACCATTTTTTTTAACAAAATTCTCATTAGTTTGTTGTTTCAGTAAGCTATTATTATTACTACTACTAGTAGTAGTACAACTTGAATTGATATGATATACATCAAAACTAACAGTGTTATCAATGTAACCACTATTATTATTATTATTATTATTATTATTATTATTATTATTACTATCATTATAAATACTTACATCATTCAAATAATCACATCTAGGCGTATCATTTACAGCAGCAGTATGATGTTGATCATATATCATGGATATTTGATGATTGGTTTTTACATCAATCATTGTGGTCGATTTGGTCGGTGTCATGGATGATGAAGTGTCTGTTGTGGACGTCGTCGGTGTCGGTGTCGTCGTCAGTGTTGTTGTTGTCGTAATCGTTGTAGTGTTCAAATGATTCTCCAAATAATCATCTGAAGTAGTAGTAGTAGTAGTAGAAGACGGAAAAGCATGTTTAAAATAATCATTACATGAACCATTACTACTACTAGATCGATCATTATTCAATGGACACAATGATAGATTTTTATTAGTATTATTATTATTTGAACAAAATATTCCACTGGATTGATCAAATGTTCTAGGTATAGTTTGTTGTTCAATAATCAATTGTTTTTCTTTTTCAACAAATTTACAAATCATTGCATTACTATTCATTGCATCGGTAGTTTGTAAACAACATGGTGAATTTGATATATTTAAACAAATCGGTATAGTATTCATATCATTATTGTTGTTATTACTATCTGAGTTGAATAGTTTAGAGGTTGTTGTATAACAACAATTATTTGTCTCAGCATGATCATCTGTATCCGATAGAAATGTATTACTGATATTCTCAGTGAATTGATTCTTCATAATTTGATGTTGCATAGAAGAGTTTGAATGCTGTTGTGGTTGTGATTGTGGTTGTTGCTGAATGGATGATTTATTAATCCGATCATTAGTAGTATTACTATTCATCAGTTCGTCATGATTCGATGTGATCACACAAATAGAAGAATCATTGGTTTGTGCAGCATGTATCGACTTTCCATGTAGACAACCACCTTGTATGCCGTCTTTCTCATCCAATGTATCACCGGATGCCATAGGATTTGTAGTATTGACTAAAGTTTTAGTCATAGTATTTTTATTATTATTACTGTTCATAGGTATGATTTCACTGGACATCGTTAAATCTGATCTAACACAATGATCAATGATCAATCGTCAATGGCGGTGTAATAACATCTTGTCACAGAAGTAATGTAAGCCGACAATAATAATCAGAATGATTGTGGCCATATATATATATATGAATGATAAATCTTAATCGCTTGTTGACATTGACAAAACTGATGCGTCTTGTTCGTTGTCGCCGTCGTCTCAATCTTTTTTTTAAAAAAACAACCAAATTAATGTGAAATCGATTTTTTCATCTTCTTTCTTGTTTTTAATTAATTCAAAATGACCTCGAACTAGACTCTACACACACATGTATGGTTGATTCATATACAATAGACAGTATATATATATATATATATATATATATATATATATATATATATATATTTATTTATTTATTTAGTATTATCGATCGATAATCATAAATGTAGGCATTTTCTTTTTTATTTATTTATTTTTGAAATTATGCCTTGTGATGATGTTGTGAGTGGAAGAAAGAAGTAGGCATGCAATAGTGAATGATGAATGGATGATGAAGGGGAAAAGAAAGATTTATTGTCATTTGATTCTTGTGATTCTTGTATCTTTGAGTTTGTTCAACTTATAATTTTGTTTTTTGGTACTCATGTGTTGTAATGTATTCGAAAACGAACTCTATCAACGCCTAGGTTTCGTTTATCAGTTTGTCTTAATCTCACGCTGTTGCTGTCTGTTAATTTGTAAATCGCATGTCAGTCAGTCAGATGCAACGTAGAACTAACTTCGTACGTAAGTACATCAGTTCATGTCGCCATACCACATCAGAACAGACAGATGTAATTGTCAATTCAAATCCAATAGTAGAAGAGGTAGTAAAGGTATTAGAAGTAATCGGAGAGGTTAGGATGAGAAGATATTATTCAAGAAGTATGATTCAATGAGAAAAGTTTAGAAAGTCAAAACTAGAGGTGTTGAAGAATCCAAAAGATTAGGATTTGAGAGAACACAAAGAATAAATGCACTGGCGCCATTGCAAACGATTTTGAGATATGTCATTCAGCAACTCTAACCATCGATTATTATCATCTCGCGGACCCCAACCAGGTAGTCGACAATTACCGACATGGCTAAGTCCACTCGTCAGTGAATTCATGGATTTCTGCCATGTTTTGGTTTGGCCGCCTCTAACTTTCTTCCAACCTATTCCTACACTACAAAACAAAGCTCGTCGAGGCAGTCGGTAGTTAGGCATACGTAGCACATGTCCCAACCACATGAACTGATGAAGTTTCAATACTTCATCTACTGATCTGCCAGAATTGCATGTAAGTGCATCATACTATTTTTATGTTTTGTGGATCTGGTTTTCTCCCGTCACCACTTTTATGTTTTGTACTTGATGTAACGCCAAACCACTGTACTAACGACACCCGAACGTTAGACTCCTCCGTTCAAAAATAAGAAGACGGAAGACATTGGAGAACACTTATTATCAGAATCAAAAATATACAATCAACACATGCGTATTTATACAATTATGTAAATGTCGTTAAATATTTTGAACATGAATCAAATACTTCATCATGAACATTAGTCAAATAGTTCATCACGAACATTAATCAAATAGTTCATCAATCCACAATGTGCGTGGCTTTCTTCTCGATTGACTATCCCAACAACTATGTGCTTACTGAGTCGTCGGCTCATATTTTTCTCTTTTTCTTTCTTCTTCTTCCAGATAATCTCATACGCTGCTCCTTACATTCCCCCGCCTAGCAAACAAGGTACCTTCGGGCTAAACTCATTTATTACATTTTATGATCCTATTCATACAACCATAATATGCCTTTGAGATTTGGAAGCTTTCTCCTGTGGTTGTCTTCTGTTACTGTTTATCAATCATTCAGGGTTCATTCGTTGTTGATAGTAGTGTTCTTTTCTGTTTGCTTTCAAGGTTGACCTGTTCAGTCATGAAGTCATATTCATCCAGTTACAGTGTAAAGGTTTTATTGAGTAAGTAATCTGGCTTATCAAGAATATAAATTAGCTTTGAGACAATTCTCGCTGAAGGTTTTAAGTACAACATTGTATAGACAGATGAAAAAATGTTATAACAGATTTTATGATATATCAATATAGATAACTTGGAGAACTACGAAAGCCATCATCTGGAAGATATAAGTGTTTATGAACAGTTGTCTACGCAAAATACTTCGGATTCGTTGGCCAGACACCATCAGCAACAACGTACTGTGGGAAAGAACAAACCAGATTCCAGTGGAGGAGGAAATCAGGAAGAAGCGGTGGAAGTGGATAGGACACACACTACGAAAAGCACCTAACTGCGTCACGAGACAAGCTCTCACATGGAACCCTGAAGGCAAAAGGAAAAGAGGAAGGCCAAGGAACACATTACGCCGAGAAACAGAGAAAGATGTGACAAGAATGAACAAAAATTGGACAGAACTTGAAAGCGAAGCCCAGAACAGAGTTGGTTGGAGAAAACTGGTGGGCGGTCTATGCTCAATTGGGGGTAACAGGCGCAAGTAAGTAAGTAAGTAAGTTATATAGATAACTCCCATGTTGTAAAGCCGATTGTAACAGAAGAAAATTCTAATTCGGTGGAGTTTAACAGGAGGACACTAAGCTTTTGATAAGCTTAAGAAATGTTAGATAATTTTCAGTCAGAGACTGGTTAGGTTCCATGAGGTGATAGTAACCGATGGTGAGACACTTTGAATGACTTGACTCAATTTCTTAGCGATGGTGCAGGTCATTCAGTCAGTCAGCATAGGACTTCGTACGTGAGTACATCATTTCAAGTTGCCATACCACTTTATCAAATAGATGGAATTGTAAATTCACATCCCATATTAGTTAGTAGAGGTAGTAAAAGTATGAGTGGAAATTAAAGTTCCAAGATTCAATTCAAGAGATAATAACCGGTGAAAGAAACTTAAAATGAGTAAGAAAAAAGTGACGAGGAATTGAGAAGATTAAAATTTCAGAGAAGACAAAAAGTGGGTGCACCTGAGTCATCGCAAACGATTTTTAGACATGTCGTTCAAGATCTCTAACCATTGGTGACTTTCGTCTCGCGGACCCTAACCAGGTGATATACACTTACCAACATGACTCACTCCTGTTGTCAGTGACTTCATGGAGTTGTGCCATGTTTTGGTTTGGCCACCCCTAACTTTCTTGCAACCTACTCCAACACCACAAAACATCGCTCGTTGAGGTATTCGGTGGTTGTGCATACGTAACACATGTCCCAACCATCTCAACTGATGACGCCTCACCACTTCATCTATTGATCTTCTATCCCTATCAAGTACTCGATTCCTTACTATAGCATTGCATACTCGATAGTTCAAGGATATACGAGCCATGCTTCTAAGACATCTATGAACGAATTATAGTAAACTGTGATTATTCTCTACTCTTACTGGCCATGTTTCACACCCGTATAGCAGTCTGGAGAGAACTCCTGCGCAGTAAACTTGTTCTTCGGTTAACAGGTGGATTTATGACAGGCACCATAAGTAACACAAGTTGGCAAAAGCCAATCAAGCCTTCTGTATTCATGTTGAGATTTCGTCACAAAGGAGATCATCAGCACTGATGAGACTTCCAAGATAAGTGAAGCTGTAAAAACACTCAGCAACCCCACTCCCTTTCGCTAGTTCAGAGGCCGATGCAAGCCAACCCTTAGGAAACATTTACATTTTGAGGGGGAGAATCGCACCCCAAATATAACTGTATTGTTGCTTAAGATGTTCAGAAGACTCTGCATTTTGTCAACATCATCACGAAGTAGCACTATGTCATCGGCATATTCTAAGTCAACAAACGAATCTCCCGGTAAAGTTCAACTATCAGCTAGTGCTTAAGCTGTCTCTGATCGTCATCGTGATTAGAGCCAGACGGAATGAGTTTCCGAGCATCTCTCAGTTCAGTAGACTCTGCTGAAACCCACTTATTATCGCTGGCCTTTTGGTTTAAGTTATTGGCAGATACTACTGCTGTTTTCACAGTTATTATTACAAGCTGCCTCGAGGTGGGTATCATTTAAATGTTTTTTCAACTGTTATTGAATTGTACTCTTGGCTTTCTTATTGTTAAGTGGAAATCTAAGTTATTTCCTTGCTTTATCTTTCTTACGTCCAGTAAAACGCAGACAAGTACGTGCTGGTACTACGGCACGATCTGAGTATAAACATGTGCTCCAGAATGAGTGGCAGTGTTCTATCGAGCCTATCCATCGGTGGTTGATAACACTGTGGTCTAATTGGGTTGATTTTGCGGAGTGCCATGCCAAAAGATATGTTTAAAGTTGGTGTTGGCCAGAACTAGACGGTTATCTGAGCATAGTTGCAGCAGACGATCGCCATTATCTATTTGATGAGCCCAGACACCTTCAGATCCACCCAGGTGTCTCGGTTCCATCTAGTCTACCAACTTGGGAATAAAAATTACCAGTCAATACAGTTACTTCACCTCATCTAAGCTCTAATCAGTGAGAGCGTAGGAAAAGACAGCGGTGAGTATCCTGTCATGCTGAGTTCTCACTGTCCCATTTAGTCGGACAGCACATAAGCGACTGTTTACCGGGATCCATTCCAAGAGAGGTGGTTCTGCCTTAGAGCCTAGTGCTATACCTACACCAGAAAGGCCACGGGAAGCAGCAGTGGGGCTTGCCTTGAGACGATTTTTAATGCTGACAAGATGAGTTCAAATTAATGATTCCTGTGTGAGCGTTTTGGAGACGCAGCATACATTGATGACGCGAGATTCTAGTCTTAGCTAAGGAAGCCTGTTGCCCTATTTGACACAACGTCCGTACACTAAAAGCTCCAATATGTAGTCTAGAACAACTTAGAAACTATATTAATCAGACTGATTCCTCTGTGACTGTCACAAGGGGACTTTTGCCCTGTCTTATAACTTGGGACAAACAGCGATTTAGACCAGTCGGATAGGAGTGGGCCTAGTTCCCAGATTCTACCTAAGATCTCAGTAAATCTAACTGTGAAAGCTGGGCCACTATCCTTAAAAACGTCATGGATACGCCTATCAGGACCCCCTGCTCTCCCTCGCTCCATATTTCCGATAGCTTCCTCAACTTCGCAAAGACTCGTAGAACTTATATCGATTTGGCATTCAGGATGACTGGAGACTGTGGACAACAGAAGTGTGGCTGATGTCCAGTTGAACAGATCCCTGAAGTGTTCTGCCCATCGGTCCAGTCTCCTGGATAACAAGACCATCCTTTTCCGAAATAGTTTCACTCACCAGTTTTCTTGATAAGTCTGACTTTTCCATCTCTCTTGCTTTCTCTATTCACCACTGTTCGCGATCATCGCGTAGGCTTTTTATCAGACTGCGCCAAAGCTCAATCCGCTTCTCATTCTACTCAGAGCCAGGTGATATGCATTTTCGAGCATTCATCAGTTCGGTAGATGCTGTTGATATCCGCCGTTTCTTCCTAGCCTTATGGTTTACCTTACTAGCAGATATCACTGCTGCTTCCACAGAATTTTGGATATCATTCCAACCTGCCTCCGGATGGGGATCACTTACATGGTTGTCTAACTCTCTTTCTAGTTGCTCCTGAAACATATTCTTAGCTGTGCTATCATTAAGTAGAACCCTAACAGGTTTCCTTGTGGTGTCTTTCTTACGTCTAGTAAGGTGCGAACAAATACGCGATCGCACTACGGCATGATCTGAATCCAGACATGTGCCCCAGAACGAGCGACAGTCTTCTATCGAATTTCTCCGTCGGTGGCTGATGGCAATGTGGTCTAGTTGGATCCAGAGTTGAGACGACTTTGGAGGTCGCCAGGCCAGATGTTTCTCCTTTAGCCTAAAGTTAGTGTTTGCTAGAAATAGGCGGTTATCTGAGCATAGTTGCAACAGATGGTCGCCATTGTCTGCTCTCTGAGCTGCGATACAATAACATCCACCAAGGTGTCTTTCATTTTCACTTAGTCTACCTACTTGAGTACTAAAGTCACCAGCCATTATTACTATATCAGAGCGCCTGACCTTTTTGGGGGAGGTCCGAAAGCTTTCTGCAAAACTCATCTTTAACCTCGTCTGAACTGCATTCAGTGGGAACGTAGGCAGATAGGACGAAGATGCATCGGCAAGTGTCCCTAACATTACGAGTCCTTACTGTCCCGTCCAGTTGGACGGCGCACAAGCGACTATCTACTGGGATCCAGTCTAGGAGAGTTAATTCTGCCCTACAACTCAATGCTATACTTACACCAGCGAGACCCCTGGAAGCAGCAGCAGGGCCTCCAGATACACGAAGAGTAAATCAAACGGGTTCTTTATTTTAACATGGTAACGTCAAATGAATGACGCTACTCGGATTGTGTATGCACGTTTCGGAGATGCAGCGTACATCGATGGTGCGAGATTCCAAAGTCTTAACTAAGGAAGTCAGTTGCCCTATTTGACACCATGTTCGGACATTGAATGCTCCAACATGTAATTTAATACGAGGTTTCAGGAGACCGGGAATAACGTTTCGTGAACTCGCATCGTTTGCCTAAGCCGTACAGGGTGATAAAGTAGAAATTAGAGGGTGTAGGAAGGATTTGATTTCGACCAATTCGGTCTCGCTTACTGTTACGGGTATGAGGGCGGACGTAACTTCCCGACTGCCATCACCGTGGAAAGGTGTTTCTTGAGGAACTTGAAAAGAAAGGTAGATTAGCGCTGGTCTCCACGACCTGGGAGCGTGACCGCAGAGTACAAGTGACAACTGATTGAGGCCGGTCACGTACAGCCTTTTTATGAGAGGTTATTATTTGGTGAAAGGCAATCTCAAGAGATCGGAGGTACGCAACAAAAAACGTTATGGGTTCCAGACCCGTAGCATCCTCATGAGTTGCATTAGTCTGACAGATGTCTATTCTACAATACATACAGTAAAATTACTTAATGATGTTAATCGGTGGTCATAATTTAGCTCCATATTATTACATCAGTTAATTTATGAAACAAAACTGTATAATTAGAAGTTGAGTTATGTTCTATTCTGATTATCCAGTAAGTGAGCGTGAAGAAATGCATTATAGACCAATAGTCATTAAGTGTTTATTCTCTTGTCGTTAGTACTAGATAATCATCAGTCTGGGCGAACTAATCAATACTCGAACTAGATCACCATAAGCACTTTCATGTATGACAATCTAATCACAGTGAACTCAAAAAACATAATTATAAGAAACCTGTTTATTTCTATTGCCCTATCACTTTAAATCATATCAGTCAGTCAGTAAGATGCAACGTAGAACTTCGTACGTAAGTACATCAGTTCATGTTGCCATACCATATCAGCACAGAGATGTAATTGTCAATTCAAATCCAATAGTAGAAGAAGTAGTAAGGGTATTAGGAGTAATCGGAGAGGTTAGGATTAGAACATATTATTCGAGTATGATTCAGTGGGAAAAGTTTACAAAGTTGAAGAACCCAGAAGATTAGGATTAGAGAGAACACAAAGAATAAATGCACCGGCGCCATTGCAAACGATTTTGAGCCATGTCATTCAAGGTCTCTGACCGTCGATTATTATCATCTCGCGGACCCCAACCAGGTAGTCGACAATTACCGACATGGCTCAGTCCACTCGTCAATGACTTCATGGATTTCTGCCATGTTTTGGTTTGGCCGCCCCTAACTTTCTTCCAACCTACTCCTACACTACAAAACATAGCTCGACGAGGCAGTCGGTGGTTAGGCATACGTAGCACATGTCCCAACCACCTCAACTGATCAAGTTTCATTACTTCATCTATTGATCTACCATTCTTACCTAGCACCCGATTCCTAATAACAGCGTTGCTCACTCGGGTGTGCCACGATATATGAGCAATGCTTCGAAGACACCTATGATCAAAAACCAGTAACCTACGAATATCTTCTACTCTCACTGGCCATGTTTCACAGCCATAAAGTAAGACGGAGCGAACCACTGCGCAGTACACTTGTCCTTTAGTCAGCAAACGCATATCTCATCTACGCCATAAGTGACGCAGGTTGGCAAAAGCCAATCGAGCCTTCTGTATCCGTGTTGAGATTTCGTCAGTCACCAGGCCATCGGTACTGATGAGACTCCCTATACTTTAAATCATATGCCTAACTTCAAACAGAACACTTTAAAGAATTGTATCGTTTAAGTACACATGATTTCCCGTTTCAATTGCTTTCAAATAATACCATATTTGTTTTGTAGTAGTGAAACAAGTAGTAATATTGTTGTGTTTTTTTTCTACACTCACACACTTTTACCTGACATCATCTAAAACTACCTGATTAAATGTCACCAATGAGTGTATGCAATAAAAAAAGTCTTATTAGAAAAGTAATAATTTATTTCGTTACAGAGAAATTTGTACACAAATAAGAAGAACAAGAAGAAGCAGCAGCAAAAAGCCTTCCCAATAATGATCATAATAATAATGCCGATTTATTATTCACTTTTAGAATGTTTATGCTTTCTTTTTGAATGTTTATGTGATTTTTTTGATTTATGCTTTTTCCTATGATGATGCTCATGATGATGATGATGATGGTGATTACCGTCGATAGTGGGCGGCGATCCACTACTACTTTCAGAAGACCCAGTTGTTGAATGTTTACTAAGAGAAGAGCAAATACAAATGAACTATAAAAATACAAATTGATTTACCGTTTAGATATACGTTTTCTCTTTTCTTTCAGTTTTTTTTGCTTCTTTTCAGCTAAAATGAAATAACAAGACAAAAAATAATGGATTACGATTATATATATAAAGATTGTTTGCATCTATGATTAACATCATGTTTTCTTAAGATTGAACCCAACCGTAGCTGCTACCTTGACGTGGTGGTCGGGCATACCTATCGTCATGACCCAACCGAGCTATACTGGCTGGAACATATGTTCCTGCAGGTCCTTTCATGACAGGCAGGTCGATTGGAGAGCGATTAGACTAAAAGTAGCTACCCAAGGTCTGAGGGCGAAGTCGTACTGCTGACTGTAGAGGGGTGTGACAGCAGTAAGGTGTTTCTCTCGGATAACCAGCATCTGCAGTGATCCTGCCTTCTCACAAGAAACGAAGGGTTAGAAAAGGTCGACCCTAAAAATGTCACACCTCACCTTATCTCACGGATTTCCGTCTTCGGCGGTAAGGGTGCCCACTAAGGGCCTTTAAGAGCGGAGCTAATCCTCAAAAAACCTTTGATAAAAAGGCCGTGCGTGACCGGCCTCAATCAGTTGTCCCTTGGACTCTGTGGTCACGCACCCACGTCTCCAAGACCAACACTAATCTATCTTCTTTTTCAGGTCCCTCAAGAATCAACCTTCCACGGTGTGGGCAGCCGGGAAGTGACAACCGCCCTCATACCCGTAACAGCACGACAGACCGAATCGGTCGAAATCAAATTCTTCCTACACCCACACATACCTCTCTTCTCTCCACAACTAACTCTACTCACATTCCCTTATCTGACTGCACCGCTAATGCAAACGATGCGAGTTCACGAAACGTCATTCCTGGTCTCTTGAAACCTTGTTCTAGATTACATGTTGGAGCATTTAATGTACGGACATTGTGTCGAATAGGGCAACAGGCATCATTAGCTAGGACTTTAGAATCTCGTGCCATCGATGTATGCTGCGTCTTGGAAACGCGCATACAGGATCCTAGTGTCTTCTAATCCTAACCTCTTCGATTACTTCTAATACCTTTACTACCTCTTCTACTATTGGATTTGAATTGACAATTACATCTCTGTGCTGATGTGGTATGGCAACATGAACTGATGTACTTACGTACGAAGTTAGTTCTACGTTGCATCGGACTGACTGACTTAAGATTGAAATACCAGTCAGCTACAACGGTGAACTTCATATATTGTACATGCATTAGTTCACATTGCCATACCAACCACATTAGCATAAAGATGCAATTGTTAAGTCAAACTCCATAGCAGTAGAGGCAATAGAAATATTGGCGATAATGGAGAAAATTACGGTTCGAAGATATTAATTATTCAATAAGTATAGTTCAGTGAAATAAATTTAAAAAGAGAAAGATATAGATGATGAGGAATTCGGGAGATTACAATTCAAAAGACAAAGAATTGATGCACCTGTGCCATCACAAACGATGTTGAAACATGTCGTTCAAAGTCTCTAACGATCAGCTACTATCGTCTCGCAGACCCCAACCACGTACCCTACATCTAGTAGCATGGCTTATTCCACTTGTCAGTGACTTCATAGATTTGTGCCACGCCTTGGTTTAGCTTTCTTTCAGTCTACTTCTAAACCACAAAACTAAGATCGTCGAGGCAGTCAGTAGTTAGGCATACGTAACATGTCCCAACCACATCAACTGAAGTTTCAATAATCAGATCAAAATAAAAGTGCTTAGATTTCGTATAAACTAGCTTAAGTAGCTTGACAGTAACATGAGTGCAGCAAAATTTAAAATCTGTCGGTCTGAGTTTTAAACCACAAAGTGGAAGTAAATGAGTGCCTAATTTTGCTAAAGGACTGACCAGTGGTTTAAATACAGTCACAGTAACACTTAATCATGAGTTTTTAGCGCTCACTTAATCTGATTGTTGGCCACACCATAAAAATAAATAGTTTAACTGATCAAAATTCAACTAAAAACATACTCAATTTTGACTGGGTTCTAACTGATGTATTTTTTTATTTACTAAACATTACTTAACAACAAACTCCCATGTAAATGCTGCTTATGAGCTGGTATGGCAATTTGAAATGATGTAAATAGGTGCCAAGTTTAGCGTTACAGCTGATTGACTGACTTTTCATAAAGTATCAATTTAGCCTGTTAATAATGACTTGAAGTTGTAATGTTCCTTCTGAATGAACTCACTTGTTTTCAATCACTACCAAAAGTATTGTTTGTAAGTTTTACAAACATGTACGAACCGAAGTTAATATTGCTGAAATTAATCCCCGACTGCTAATAACACTGAATATAGTAATAATAGTATTGAATATCTGTAAATACGATACATGTTAAATTACTTGACTAATGATATGATGTACACAATTCTGGTTTACGTACTAATGCCCTGATATACTTAAGGGTGGGAAGTCTGTTCTTTTACTTGAAGTGCGCCCGTACAACCACGAGTTGACACGTTTTATCAGGGCAATTCTATTCACCATTTCCACCTGGAAATGGTTTTGCGATAGTGAAGGAACGAAAACGAACTTCCAGAGTTTGAACTTGGATGGTAAATACAGAGGAATTATGTCAGTCAGTTAGTCAGCTAATACGTAGAACTTCGTACATACGCACATAAGTTCAAGTTGTCTTACCACATTAACACAGATGAAATTGTTGATTCAAATCCCAAGGTGGTATAGGTAGTAGGAGTATTGGCGGTAATCAGAAAAATTAGTGATCGAAAATATTGGTTAAGGAGTATATCCCGGAGGAATAGATTAAAAAAAAGAAAAAAACGACCATGAGGAATTTCAGGTGCCTATGTAAGCCAATCCTGCAGAAAAGTTTTGCATTTTGAAGGGGATAATCATGTTCGGAACATGTTTGCATGCTTAGGGTAGTCAGAAGACTTTGACATAGAACCTTACGATCAACAGGGTCAAATAGCGCTTTAAGGTCCAGGGAGACAAGAGTTGTGGAACGCCCAAATATGTACCGGAACGCGAATGAGGGTATAGTTCAATAGAACTACAGCTCAAATATCTCGGATACAACCTACTCTCAAAAATGATAATAGGATGAAATAAGATCAAGATGATTGATGTAACATTTTTTGTTAGACAGTCATTCGACGAAAGTTTTAAATCCATTATCTGCTGCTTGGATTGCTTTAGGTAGATCTAAGCTACTTTTTTAACCTTGGTGGTGAAATGATGCTTTAAAAGCCTGAATGAAAGGCTAAGAATTACGATGAGATATTTCAAGTCTCAAATATCTCGTTGCTGTAATGCACTGATCTAACTTTCATAATTCTCTACGTTAAGTGTCTTCTCATAATTATGGCTAGTTAATCACACTGCTTCAGAACCCGTAATGCTAAGAATACTGCTACAACTAAGTTTCCCTAAATACTAAATTGCTCAATCGACGGCTAGCAGGCATAAAAACAAAACCCATAACAAGACGAGTAAATAAGTACAACATGGTGTTAGAGGGTCAACTTACCCATTGAAGCACGTCGTAATTCTAGAGCTGCTGCAATTAATTCACTCTCATCAGACTGAGAACTGGTGCTGCTTACATCCAAAACTACATCACCTGAGACACCGCCGCGTAAATAATTGCGACATTGAAACGTTAGATGACCAGCTGTTCCGGCCGTTATTAAGTATGTTGCTGCTTACTAAATCCACATTTTTTACATCCCACTCGAAAGTTCGTCCTGGATTCACGTGGCTTAGCTACAAATTTAATGAAATCGGAGGAAGGAAACTTACAGTCCATACACCTTGCATGCAGACAGGCTGGTGAGGCACAAAAAGGGATGGATTAAAGGCTAAGACCAGGTGGACGGAAGGTCAAGTCCGCTTCAGCTCGACCTGGTGTTTATCTGAACAACCTTGACCGCCTTTTATAGAGGCGAACAGTCAAATATCCAATATCTTTTTCACGAGCTAGTGTAAACCGATTTCATTTCTTCGATTCTTGTTTTTCCGGTACGGTTCCAGGTGTTCGGTAATGTCCAATGGATGGAGGTCTAGCCACTCGACTGTCTAATTCTAGTCAGTTGGCAGTTGGTTGTGAGTTTGTATGTCTCGGGATTTGAATGAAAACGTTTGTTTCAGGGCAGTAGGGTTTCTGGATACCAGTAGCCGTCACATTACCAAACCGGAGATCAGTTAGTTGCAATGTGGAGAGTAATAAGGATAATAAGGATAAAATTTCAAATGCTAATATGAATAAAATTTCAGAACTGAGTATAGATGAACTTAGTTTGTTAATTGGTAGTGAAGATTGTGAGAGAGGACCGAAGTGTAAGTAAGGGGGGAAAGAGATGAGAGGCGAGATAGGTTAAGTAAGTGATCTAAGGAGATGGCAATGATAACAACTAGTAGGTCTCAAGATATGCATCATGAACAGCTTGTCCAAGAGGGAGATGATAGTCCGTATGTGAGTACGTGATTATCAAGTCTCTCCTTAAAGCAGTCCACTGAGGGGGCTGTAACTACCTCGGCTGGGAGAGCATTCCAAGTTGCGACGACTCGCAATGAGAAAACGTGTGCACGAATCTGAGTGTTTGCTCTTTGATGTGCAATCTTTCGAGGATTGCCTCGAGGGGAGTGGTGGTGATGCATCGGTACGATGCACACATTGAGATAGTTTGGCGTGTTTAATATGGTGTACGCCATAACCAGGTCACCACTGATTCTCCTGTAGCTCAGTGTGAATAATCCCAAGAGCTGGAGTCTATTGTTGTAGGGTTTATTTTTCAAAACTATCACCCATTTGGTTGCACGTCTCTGCACTTGATCCAGGAGATCATGTCTCTTTTAGGCAGAGAGGGTGCGATGACGTTGTAAACCTCCAAGTGTGGGCGCGCGTACGTAATAAACAGGGTTAAAAATAATTTCGGGGTGATAGCACCAAGTTGTCTTCGCATAAAGTGAAGAGTCGCATTTGCCTTGGCTGCATCTCCTACATAGTTTGGACTCGTGTGGAGGCTTTCTGTGGTTATTAAACCGAGATCGCGCTCTGAGGAGACATTTAGGAGCGGACTTCCATTGATGATATTCAACAGCAGTCTTAGAGACAGAGGAGACCCTATCTTTTGAGGCGGACAGTGGTGCATTCAATATCCATTCATTATCTTTTACACAAGCTAGTTTAAACCAGTTGATTTCTTTGCACTCAATTCATATTCTTTCCTTACGGTTCTGGGAATTCGGTGTTGTTCGATGGGGGAGATTCCAGCCACATGACATAGGTACAGATGTACTGATAGTGTTCTAATCTCGGACATAGAAAGGTCAGAGTAATCCTATCTTTGTTTTTCCCAAAAAAGTATGTGGTGGGTCATGACTCAGTTTTCAACAAGAATATTTGCTGTTCTGCTCCTTACTCTTTTCTCTTCATTTTTCTTTTTCAGCACCTCATTCTACTGTTTAAGTATTAGTCTTGATATTGCTGAAGACGTGGTTGCTTTACTGAACAGCCTGTCAATTTATTATCTATTGAATCTCAATAAGGAGATCGTTAAACATTTACCTTACCAATTCTTGTAGTATGCAGACCTGGATTTACCTTGCAGGTGACGTATCTCGCACCAACTGTTATATTGTATATTCCAGAGTCTAAAACATTACCCACAATTTTAAGGTAAAATTATTAGCCTGTAGTGGTACACTATTACGAAGAAAACACTTATTATTGTGCTTAATTCTGACGATAATTGTTATATTGCACACCCCTTGTTTATCTGCACAAAAGGCAATTTCGCGCGCACCAAGCGTGTTATTTCCATTCTCTTCATTCGTGCGTCTCCTTCCTGGACGTTAGCAGCTCGTACGCCCTCTGGCCTCGATATGATTTCGATATCACGAGGCTATCATTAAATATACTGCTTCATCTAGAATCGTCTTTTATTTGATAACTAGATTAATGGGATTAACAATTATTATCCCGCGAAGTAGTATTATATATTTTGATTCGCTATAAGCCATCTATAAAAGTCCGTATATCTTGTCAAATATCTCACTGATTTACAAACCATTTACAGCAAAACTTTTAGGAACTTTAACATTTTGATCCTGCCTGTAAACTGACATGACTCTTGTTACATCTTGTCAGTTGAGAGCAAATTATTGTCATTATTACCCATAGTTTGGCGAGTTCCTTTTTGCTCATCATCGGTTTTACTGCTTCCACGTGCAATCTATTGACTTGCACTTGATTCCGTAGCGATACCTGTTGCTCTATTTGTAACTATAATACTCTTACACTTTCCCGCTTACTTCATAGAACATATTTCCGCCACTACATTCTAAATGCTTATAATTTCTTTGAAAACCCATACTTTTCTCCACAACAATTAACTGTATTACATCGATGCTTGGCACAAAGTTTATAAGTTGTGATAGCCTGGCTCACTTGTAAAATGGAACTTGCGGAATTAGTGTTGTTCGAAAGGATGTGAAATATAAAGCCTTCAATAGAACGTAAAAAATTATCCTACACTCATTGTAAATGAGTCTAACAACACGAAAGGAGGGAGGATGGAGTTTCTGACCAGCGAGCCTTGATGCTGAGGGCGATGACTTCAAGCCATCAATATATGTGGGGCAGAACATGTTGTTTGCTTCCGGCTCTTTGTGATTGATGAGGCGACCGACCAGTGCTACTGAAGTTGCTGATATACTCTTGCTACTTCTGAAACTCATGTTTCCAGTAGCATGCTGGGATCGCTATTCTGCCAGTATAGCCTGCGATATGCTTACTTAGGAAAATACAGTATGACTTGGAGGTTGGCTTTTGACAGAAAAAAGATAGACAGTGAACATTATACTCGGCCTGCAGACCCTTCATGGCTACTGCCGGTCCCAAGCCCGGATAAAGGAGGAGGGTTGGACATGGGGTTAGCGACCCCATCCCGTCAAAAAACCGACTTGCCAAAAAAACGCTAACCAGAAAAAATAATTCAAACCATTTTAACTCTACCCTGGGAGTTGGAAGAAGAATTGTGAAGTCGCATGATGAATGCCGAGTTCGCTCGGATGTCCCAGGGCCGATGCCTCTTCTGACAACCAGAGCAACCATTCTTTTAGGTACATGGAACGTTCGTACATTGTGGGAGACTGGAACACCATTTCAAGTTGCGGCAGAAATGAAAAGATACAACCTGGAGGTGCTCGGCATCAGTGAAACGCATTGGAATTAGGTAGGACAACTGAGACTAGCTTCAGAGGAACTGCTGTTATAATCTGGTCATGAAGAGGGAAATGCTTCACATACAAAACGATGTTGGCCGAACGAGCACAAAAGGCACTGATAGGATGGGAATCTCATGGACCCAGAATCATTAAACTATCGTTCAAAACAAAGAAAGAGGACATTACAATGAACGTCATCCAATTTTATGCACCTACCAATGACTGCAATGACGACGACAAAGATCAATTCTACGAAAGGCTGCAGTCAATCGTTGACAGATGCTCATCAATGGATTTGACTATTCTTATGGGAGACCTGAATGCCAAGGTTGGCATGGACAACACTGGATACGAAGACATCATGGGACGACATGGACTGGGAGAAAGGAACAAAAACTGTGAGAGATTTGCGAACCTATGTGCCTCCGACAAATTGGTCATCGGTGGCACAATATTCCCACACAAACGCATACACAAAGCCACATGGATTTCACCAGACCACACTACTCAGAACAAAATCGACCATATCTGTATCAACAAAACTTTCAGAAGGACGATGGAGAATGTGAGAACCAAGAGAGGAGCCGATATAGCCTCAGATCACCACTTGCTGATCGCCAAAATGAAACTGAAACTAGAGAAGCACTGGACAACGGGGCAGACAACATCACAGAAGTTAAATACAGCTTTTCTTCGGAATACCGTAAAACTCAACGAGTTCAAGATAACCCTCACCAATAGGTTCCAGGCCTTTCAGGATCTACTCAATGGAGAGGAAGCAACATTGGAGAACAAATGGAAAAGGATCAAGGAGGCAATCAGTTCAACAAGGCACGAAGTTCTGGGTCACAAGAAGTACCATCACAAGGAGTGGATCTCTGTTGATACTCCTGCAAAAGTTGGAGAAAGGAGGAACAAGAGGGCAGCAATCAATGTCAGCCGAACAAGAGCAGAGAAAGTTACCGCACAAGCTGCATACACAGAAGCAAACAGGGAAGTGAAGAAGAGCATCAGAGCTGACAAACGAAAATATGTGGAAGATCTAGCAATGACGGCGGGAAAGGCTGCAAGAGAAGGAAACTTGAGACAGTTGTACGAAACAAAAAAAGAAGCTCGCCGGAAACTATCGTAAACCAGAACGACCAGTGAAAAGCAAGGAAGGCAAAGTAATCGGCAACATTGTGGGACAGCGAAGCAGGTGGGTGGAGCACTTCCAGGAACTATTGAATCGACCAGCTCCACTCAACCCACTCAACATCGAAGCAGCATCTATGGACATTCGGATTGATGGTGGGGTACCTACAACTGAAGAGATCAGTATTGCCATCTGACAAATCAAGAGCGGCAAATCAGCAGTACCAAACAACATTCAAGCAGAGGCAATGCAAGCAGATGTAGAAGCAACTGCGAAAATATTTCACATCCTCTTCAAGAAGATTTGGGATGAGGAACAAGTACTATCAGATTGGAAAGAAGGATACCTGATCAAAATACCAAAGAAAGGTGATCTCATCAAGTGTGCGAACTACAGAGGCATCACTCTTCTTTCAGTACCAGGCAAAGTCTTCAACAGGGTATTGTTAAACAGAATGAAGGACTTCGTAGACGCCCAAATTCGAGATCAACAGGCTAGATTTCGCAAGGATCGATCGTGTACTGAAGAAATTGCTACATTACGGATCATTGTGGAACAATCAACAGAATGGAACTCACCACTCTACATCAAGTTCATTGACTACGAGAAAGCATTAGATAGCGTTGATAGGAAAACACTATGGAGGCTTCTTCGACACTACCGTGTGCTTGAGTAGATAGTCAACATCATAGGGAATTCTTATGATGGATTCAACTGCAAAATCGTACACGAGAGACAGCTGAAAGAATCTTACGAGTTGAAGACCGGTGTCAGGCAAGGTTTCTTACTCTCACCCTTTCTCTTTCTCCTGATGATCGACTGGATTCGAAGACGTCAGCATTCCACGGTATTCAGTGAACAGCTAGGATGCAGATGGACGATCTAGACTTCGCAGATGACCTGTCACTTGTATTGCACACGCAACAACAAATGCAAGAGAAGACGAGCAGTGTAGCAGCAGCCTCTGCAGCAGTAGGTCTCAACATACATAAAGGACAATACAAAATTCTCTGATCCAACACAACATGCACCAGCCAAATCACTCTTCATGGAGATGACTTGGGGGACGTTAACATCTTTATATATCTGGGCATCATCATCGACGAGAAAGGTGGATCCGATGCAGATGTGAGGGCGCGGATTCGCTAAGCAAGGGCTGCATTTCTACAGTTGAAAAATATCTGGAACTCCAAAAAACTTTCAACCAAAATCAAAATCAGGATTTTCAATACAAATGTGGAGACAGTTCTACTGTATGGAGCGGAAACCTGGAGAACTACGAAACGCATTGTCCAGAAGTGTTTATTAACAGCTGTCTACGCAAAATACTTCGTATTCGTTGGCCACACACCATCAGCAACAACGAATTGTGGGTGAGAACAGACCAGATTCCAGTGGATGGGGAAATCAGGAAGAAGCGGTGGAAGTGGATAGGACACACATTGCGGAAAGCACCTAACTGCGTCACAAGACAAGACCTACCTTGTGTAAATAAATTTCTACAGTGGCCGTTCCAATGGGTTCCAATAGGGGCACTCCTGTACGATTCTCCCAGTCCCGGGTCCCAACCAAATCAAAAAGGACAAAAATTCTAGGACAAAGCGTCTTATTTAAATAAAAACATGGAAATACAAAGCATTACCTGGAAATAGTGCCTCTTCCAGGATACAATTACTCCGAAGAGTATCAGAAACAGTGTTAGATAAGTGACGCTAAGTCCAGCGGCCACTGCATCAATCCAAATATGGCTGTAGCCATATTAAAGATCAAATTTAAACAACATATATACAGATCAGAAGCAAACACAAAAACTTCAATATAAGTACAAATATATAGAAAGAATAACAATATACAATGATAAAATCTCAAATTGGAATCAAATAAAATACCAAAAATGTCAACAGAAAAAGTCCATCATGTCATATCAAAAATATGTAAACATGGCGGGATTTTCCAAAACACAAAACATTCAAAAAGGTTTCTACACCTTGGAACCCTCAAGGCAAAAGGAAATGTGGAAGGCCAAGGAACACATTATGCGGACAAATAGAAAAAGATATGGGAGGAATGAACAAACATTGGACCTGACTTGAAAGCGAAGCCCAGAACAGAGTTGGTTGGAGAAAACTGTTGGGCGGTCTATGCTCCATTGGGGGTAACATGCGTAAGTAAGTAAGTAAGTGAACAATATAATTATCAATGATGTTCACAAACCTTACTCTTTTTCCTAAACTTTCTGCTTCTATGTACAGACTCTTGGCTTCCTACTTCAACTTCTCTTCTATCCACCGTGATACGGATCACTACCAATTATTAAACCAAATTATCCGTTTGTTTGCTTGGTTCTGAAATTTTCTTCGTATTAGCATTACACTTTTCTCCCTTATATTCTTCACATTGTAACCTAGTGTTCGCTGGCCTGATAACCTTAGAGCTGCTAGTATTCAGAAGTCCTATTAGCATACTAGTTCAAACCACAGGACATCCGAACTCACAAGCAACTGCCAACATTCTAGGATTTGTGCAGTCGACTGGCTAGACCCCCATCCATTGGACACTACTGAATACCTAGGACCGTACCGAAAGAACATGAACCGAGCTCGTGTAAAAGGTGTTTGAGATTGAAACCCATTATTCCACATTGCTGTACTCCTTAACAAGGCTAAATTACTACCATTTATTTTCGTTTTAGTGGTCTGTATGAGTTTTATTTTTTAACTTACCATTGCACTGTCTGCTCCACCGTGGAAGATCAAACAGTGCTCCGGTTATGTATACACCTGTCTCGTTGTTCTGTTTCCTATTTTTTCCTTTCTAGGAACCCTCTGAGCAGTGAACATCCATGGTGCTTCTTGTAATTCGAAGCGCGTCCCTTGACAATGAAGCCGTCAATCTGACATATTTCACCTGTTAGATTTTTCGAATCTATTCGTTCCATGTCATAAACATGCTCTTAGTAAAGCAATCCTAATAATACTCATGTTCTGCTCTCGTTTACGCTTAATTTGCTGGCATTTGTAACAAATTTATTTCGTCCGTAAGCTGGCATCCTTTTTGAAACACACTGTTCAATCAATCAATCAATGGCAACGTAGAACTTCGTAGGTACGTACATCAGTTCATGTTGCCATACCACATTACCACAGAAAAGTAATTGTCAATTCGAATCCAATAGTAGTAGAGATAGTAAAGGTATTAGCAGTAGCCGAAGAGGTTAGGATTGGAAGATATTATTCAAGACGTAGAATCTAGTGAAATAGACTTAGAAAGATAAAGATAAAGTGATGAAGAATCAAAAAGTTTAGGATTTGCGAGAACATGAATATTGAATGCATCTGCGCCAATGCAAACGGTTTTGAGCCATGTCGTTCAGGATCTCTAACAATCGGACCCCAACCAGGTAGTCGAAACATACCAACGTGACTCAGTCCACTTATCAGTGACTTTATGCATTTGTGCCATGTTTTAGTCTGGCCGCCCCTAGATTTCTACTATCTGCCAACCATCACTTATTATGATAACTGAGGCATGGACCTGTAGTAATATTTCTGATCTTACTATATCTCTTGAAAACTATGATCTGTTTCGAAGTGATAGGTTACAAGGAAGAGGTGGAGGATGCCTTATATATGCCCACTCTAGCCTAAACTCGCTCTTATGTGATATATCGGAACTAAATAGATTGCCAGACTCTGTGTGGATCGTTCTGAAACCGTCAAATGCCGTTTCCTTACTGTTCGGCTGTGTCTACCGACAGCTTAATGTACCAACAGGAGATCTAACATTATTGTCAGAAGTATTCACATTTGTTTCATCTCTACCGTTCACAAGCAAGGCTATTTGTGGGGACTTCAACATGCCTGAAATCACTTGGTTCCCAATCAAAGCTCCTAAACGATTCGAATCATTTATTGAATGCTTAGAGCTTGGAGATGGTACTCAGCATGTTAATGGCCCAACCAGAAATCAAAATACATTGGATTTGGTTTTCACCAGCAATCTCATTCCTCACACTGTATATGTTGGAAAAAAGTTCCTAGGTGGCGATCATAATATGGTCATATGCAGCCTTGATATAGGAGCTACAACTATAAAGTATAAATCCACTACACTTCGTAGGTACTTTAGTGAGCGAGTCCGAAAACCAGCTTGACTATGCCCACCACTAAATGTTCCATACGGTCGCGTGACGAAAAGGAGAACAAAATAAATCCATAGTTCAGTGGTTTATTGAAGGAGAACGTTGGCATTACAAAGGGAGCAGCAAATGGAGAAACATGGCGGCAACGCGAAGAGAACGTTGCGCGCGCAAGAAGTGGTAGAAGTGTTTTTGGTACAGTTAAACACAGCGAGTACAATAATGTTCACATTTCAAAAATCGCATTTTCTTCGTGTTCCACTACAGGACTTTCGTAGGATTGATTGGTCAAACTTCAGTAACTGCCCCAGAAGCATTGACTGAACAAACTACTTTACCGCACACAATATTGACGAACTAATGAATGTATTTTATCACAACAGAAATTTTTTTTCTTCATAAAATAGTTCCACTACAGAAGTATGGGAAACACAGAAGGGATCATTCAGCACCTTAAGACATAGTAAGCACGTGCTACGTCATCTTGTAGAAACCCTAATAAGTTTAGTGCTAACCATAAACCCAAAGGAACTAAAGATGAAACACAGTAAACTGAACCATAGGCACAGATTCTACTCTTAACGGGTAATGAATTCTTGGAATTCGTAGTTGACTGAAGTGGTATACGTTTTTGAGAACTAAATTTAATTCCTAGCAGTTTTTTATTTCTGTTTCTTCCGCACTTCTAAATTCCTATCTATGATCAATCGTTACTAGACGTGGAAGCTCATTAACTGAAAGCTTAGATCATTCCATTTACAACCACTCTAACTATTCAAGCATTGGACGGTGGGAACATGTGGTCAAGGTCCAGTTGGGGTCAAGTATTGTCAATGTTGTTATTGGTCTATTTAGAATATGGACAATTATGATGACTTTAAGCCTACAGATGTACGATCGCCAAATGACTGGGAACATGTTGACTTGGGTTCCGAAGATCGAAACAAAAAGTTTTTAAAATTGATGGGTGGAAATCCTGTCCGTGATCATAAAGGAAAGCTAGTAATCGGAGAAAACATTGACAATGTCCACGGTCGGAACAAAGATACATCTGTAATCAATAAAGAGCTAGAAAATCAATATCTCCAGGGTTTGGAAAAGAGCATGCAACCGAATCGACACCATGGTTTGGGATGTCATACAAGTGAGTCAGCTAAATCGTAGTTCTGTTTTCGATGCTAATTAGTCAAGCAACTCATATATATCGCTGGTCGTGTTTTTCAGCCAATTTGCATGTTTTGTGATGAGACCTAAAATTTTTCTAATTAATTCCTGGTTACATGTTAATACATAATCTAAATAACTTATATTTAAACATATTTTTGGGATAAATATTAAAGTATTCATTACCATATCGAGTTGCCCAAATCATTCTGGAAGAATACCATTTTCATGAGACCATCCGACTTTTCCTTTTACCAACTCAAACTATCTGAATACATTAGAAGTACAAATTGCTTGTAGTTACATATGTTTATCGAGAACAAAAGGCCTACAGCTTGTGCTAGTCCTTTTCCAGTAAGCTTCTAAGAGTTTCTGGTCTTATCTTGAGCTAGCCAGCTGAAGCTGTTGAGATATCTTTGGGTAACGAGTTCCAAGAGCTGATGACGGTGTGAAAGCTTGTATACGATTGGTATTTTGTTTATCCTAGGCTTTTGTACTCGCTTACTGTTGTCTGGATTGTTGTGATCTAGTACGAAAATAAAGAAAGAATATATCAGATCTAAAACTTTTTCTTAACATCCTGTATAAAAAAAATCACACTACCTCCTACTCTATCGTGTCATAGAGTAGAGTGTTCTAATATTTCAATCCTCAGTGTTTGATAAACCTCATCATTATGGAATTGCACATGTAACTGCCATGCGTACTCTTGGCAAGATATTCGGGTTATCTTTTAAACAGAAGCTTGGAGCCTGAAAACTTTTCTAAGGTGTGAACCTCACTAAGGTTGTGTATACTATATCGAACCTACTGGTAACCATAGGGTTCTAAACCACTTACCTGCCATGGTACGGTAGTAGACGGTTGTCTGTAGATTGTAGCTTAGTCTCTTTGCAGATTTGAGTGACTGCTAAGATGGTAATGAGCGATATTTTCCCCAATTGGTCAATCATCACGATAGGCAAGCCCGACCACCACGTCAAGGTAGCAGCTACGGTCGTGGGTCAATCTGAAAACAATGAATTTGAATGGTTTATAGTGGAATAGAGAATTTAATGAAAACGGATTTTCTTTATTTGAGTATTAGACTCATTGCTATTAGCTATAAATCCCTAAGCGTTGCTGAAGCTATTCTTAAACAGCTTTAATCGAACCCTAAACGTAATCCTAATCCTTAAATGTGACGGCCATTGTCAACGAAATATCACTCCATCTCTCTTTCATTTATTATTAATCCACATTCTCTCCATTGCTTCATTGTAAATGAGTATTTTTCTGATCACTTCAGTGTCATACATATTTGGTAATATATTCCTTATTGGAATTACTCATCATACAGTCAACAACCAACACTCTAGTCTGGTACACGTGTGATGACGTTGGGGGCATTTTTCTGACTTTCTTTTAGGACCATATTTCAGCCTTTCTCTAATTCTGTTATTTAATATTATGCTCTTGCTTGTCGCACGATTGTCGTCCATAAGTACTCTTTTCTAGCCATCATGAATAGGATCCCAGCTCATTTACCGAGTACTGTTGATTTTTGGTGTGTGATGTAATTTGAAGGTATGATCAAGTGCTTGCTTATATACTGGTCCTTGAGCCAGATTACTTTCATAAGAATTGATTAGTTATCGAAATCAAGGCAGAAAAGTGACAGAAAAACTAACGGGTGTTGTCTAATCAATGAACCTCGTTAAATTCATTTTTATGTTTACCAGTTTGCGAAATTGGGTAAATTTTTCTATGGTCGTAATTCAGTTACGCATAAATCTTTTTACGTTGAACCTTGACCTTTGTGGAGAAATGGTGTGTTAAAAAGCGCATTACACATAAAACTAGATTATTGCTTCTCATAAGCTGACAACTGTGTTGGATCATGTTTAGATTAGGCTTATTTACTAAGAGGGTCCGTTAGTTAACAGAAACCAAGAGACTTATCTCCTGTAAATAACATTCGAACTATCACTTTCAATTGCTTTCTTGCATATTGGAAACGGATCTCGTACAATAAATACCTTTATCATAACTTCAGTGTTCACATGTCATATTTATTCCTTCATTGTAGGACTTGTAACATACGAACATATCTTCAAGAATTTCCAAAAATACAGTTGAGAAGTCTGAATCTGAAGATACTGTTCTTATATTGATTTACGGATCAGTGAATTTCTCTAAACAGATCTTATGGTATTGCCAACACTTTCAAATCAAACTTGGATCATCAGATAACAAAGAGTCATTTGCAAAGAATAATATAAACTATGACTGAGGTAATCATGTGATCATAGTGTTCACTTGATTGGTTAAGTCGTTGGAGGGTACATCTTGTAGGTGACCTAGTTCTAAGTAGTGATTAGAACTTACTATAGGTTTTACTTTCTCAGTCAGTCAGTCAGTCAGTCAGTCAGACAGCTACAACGTAGAGCTTCGTACGTACGTACATCAATTAAAGTGTTCTAAGTGAACGCTTCTTGATTGTTATCCGTTTGATACCATTCGATTTGTGTAATGTAGTATTTGTAACCCGTATATGGAATGGAGAATGTTATATATATACACATCACGACTAACACTACGATTTGATTTGATATTATGTTGACTGTTTTGCATGTTTTCTTCTGGTGACCATCTGATAGGCTATTATCAATCAGTCAGCTAAAACGTAAAACTTCGTATGTACGTACTCACATCAGCCCAAGTTGCCATACCATATAAACACACAGATCAAATTGTCAACTCCAATCTCATAGAAGTAGAGGTAGTATTGTAGTGAACGAGAACACAGGTGAGGCAACCGAATTACTCAGTAAAATCGGAAAACCATATCGTAAATCGTTAATTTGCAAAATATCAGTTCATCATATCAAACTGGACTGTTCCTGTTGCAAAACATCAATCCATTGTCACTATTCATGTGTTTCATACAAATTCCATTGTGTTCTAACTCTTCCTTTCTTGATCTTCCCCCATCTTCTTCTGCCAGACATTACGTTTACACTCGCGTCATATACTACTTATAAGTAGCTCGCACCACAGTAGTAATCAAAAAGATTCATGATCGAAGATATCATTCGAGAAGTATATCCCAGTGAAATAAATTTAAAAAGTGAACAAAAGTGTCATGAGCAACTCAGAAGATAAGAATTTGAGAGAACACAAAGAATGGATGCACCTGCGTCATTGCAGAAGATTTTGAGCCATGTTACTCAAAGTCTCTAACCATTGGATACTATTGTATAGCGGAACCCAACCAAGTAGTGTACACCTGCGAACATGACTCAATTCAGTTGTCAGTAACTTCGTGGATTTATGCCGTGTTTTGGTTTGGCCGCCCCTAGTTTTCTTTCCAACCTACTCCTACACTGCAAAACATGACTCGTTGAGGCAGTCAGTAGTTGGGTATTCGTAACAGATGTCCCAACCACCTCAACTGATGAAGTTTCAATACTTCATCTATCTACTTGCTATCCGTACTTAGTACCCGTTTTCAAATAACAGCACTTCTTACTCGGTTGTCCCATGATACACGAGCAATGCTTTAAAGACATCTATAATCGAATATTAATAACCTACGAATTTCCTCAACTGTTATCGGCCATGTTTCTCATCCGTATAGTAGAACAGAGCGAACTGCTTTCTTTTCTATTCTAGACAATTAAAAACAATCATTGAAGACAATTTAGTGTTTTAAGTTTTCCCTATGGTGACACATCAAAGTGTTTATCGGCAACTAGTGTGTTACACTCCTAAGAAATTCAATATTCATTTCATCTAGCACATCAGACAGAGATTATATTGAAGTAGCTTGAACCACAATTGACTTCTTATAACACAATTCAGTAGTAATTGCCAATATCTTATCTAGCTAGAACTGATCACTGGTTGCGTTTAAAGTTTTAAACATAGCTATTTTTTCCATTATATTGTGATTATTATTGCAGTGATAAATTCATAATTTTCAACATGGTATGTTTTACGATTTAAAACCGAGATGACAACAAGGTTGTTTTTAACTTACTAGTGTATCCTGGGACGACCGAGTAAGCAATGCTATCGTTAGGAAACGAGTTCTAGGTAAGGACGGCAAATCAATAGATGAAGCATTGAAACTTCATCAGTTGAGGTGGTTGGGACATGTGTTACGTATGCCTAACCACCGACTGCCGCTACAAGCGATGTTTTATGGTGTAAGGGTAGGCTGGGAGAAAGCTATGGGCGGCCAAACCAAAACATGGCAGAAATGCATGAAATTACTGACAAATGTACTGAGTCATGTTGGTAGATGTAGGCTAGCTCTATGTGGTTGGGGTCCGCCAGACGAAAGTCACCAATGGTTACAGACCTTGAATGACATAGCTCAAAATCGTTTGCGATGGCGCGAGTGCATTCATTCACTGTGTTCTCTCAAATTCTAATCTTTTGGATTCCTCATCACTTCTATCTTTCTCTTTCTAAATTTATCTCACTGAATTATACTTTTCGAATCATATCTTCGCTCCCTAATCTTCTCCATTACTGCTAATAATTTTACTATCTCATTCACTCTTGGATTTGAACTGATCCGGTACGGCAACCTGAACTGATGTACTTACGTACGAAGTTCTGCGTTGTATCTGTCTGTCTGTTTGTCTTAACTTACTAACTACTAATAGATTCTATCAATCGTTAAATAGTGTTGTTGTGTAACGAATCTATCTAAACCCATATAGTCGAAATGCATTTTGAATCCATGTCTCTTCACTTTCAATTTAAAACTGTTCAATAAACGCATTTTACATCAGGAATGACAGTAAATTTCTTTATAGTAAAAATTCATATCTGTCAACTTGTCATCCTGTAATATGAATCATTTATAATAATTTGCTGGATTTGTTGATCTATTTCTGTTTTGATACGATAGCTTAAATTATGGGAAACGTTTAACGTGTTAACTCCGCTCTCCAAATGGCTTTACCGCCAGAGACGGAAATCCGTGAGGTAGGGTGAGGTTTGAAATTTTTAGGGTTGACATTTTCTAACCCCTCCCTGCCTTGTAAGGAGGTAACAGCGTTGCAGATTCTGGTTGTCCGTGGGAAACACCTTACTGTTGTCACACCCCTTTTACAGTCAGCAGTACAACTTCGTCCTCAAATCTTGAGTTGCTTCCCTTAGTCTCATCGTTCTCCGATAGACCTGACTGGCATGGTAGAACCTACAGGAACATATATTCCAGGCAATTTTGGCTGGTTTGGGTCATCATGAGAGGCAAGCCTGACCACCATTTCAAGGTTACAGCTACTGTTGCGCTTATATTATACTATAATCCACGACAATTTTCAGAAAAAGTTAATTTTATTAATTTGTAAAACTCTCTTTTATTACATTTCAAAATTTGAAAAAAGATTGAATTGCAAACAGTTGTCATTCAAGTTTCTATCATAATGCTGTCTAAAAATGTTTATTGCTAACATAGTAAGTAGGTTTATGTAGATTGTTAAATTAATGGTTTACATCATAGATTAACTTGAGCTCTACAGTCACTAAAAGCTATAAAACGCAACAGATGTTTCGTCGCAGTATAAAAATCCTCATCAGTGTATATACACAAACCCACCAAGGATCGAACTCATGCCTTCCAAGTCTCGTGAATTAAACCTTTCATGATCTCCTGGTTTTTCAGTGCTTGTTAAGTTAAAGTTATTTCATGCAACCGACTAAGAATGGACGATTATATTTCGTTTAAAATTGGTTTTTATCACTGTATAATATCCGGTTGATAAAGCATGGAAGAATAGTGAGTGTAGTACTGCTCAGTAGTAAACTCTCGGAAACTCGTTCCAGACTTAATGAGGTTCTTAGGGTTTGATAGCCAACACAATACCTTTAGATCACAATGTAGATATCCAGTTGTTTACTTGCTTACCTTCAGTCAATTTATTATATTGTGCAGTCACCTTTCAATACTATTGTAGTGAAGGAGAACACAGGTGAGGGCAACCGAATTGTATTTAATGAAAATTACAGAGTTACTCAGTAAAATAAGAAAACCATATCGTAAACGGTTAATTTGCAAATCTTCAATCAATCATCAATCCATTGTCTGACATTTCACTATTCATGCGTTTCATACAAATTCCATTGTGTTCCCACTCTTCCTTTCTTGATCTTCCTCCATCTTCTGCTGCCAGACATTACGTTTACACTCGCGTCATATACTACTTATAAGTAGCGCGCACCACACTATCACTGACAAACACTTCATTCCAGATATGGTTGGGATGAACTAGTTAGGCTTTCTTCCCTACTCTGTATTACTCATTCAATTTGAATCTATTAATCTATACAAATCAGTATCTTAATGTACAGTTTCTAGTTTTCGATTTACTAAATGATCCACATTTACTTACTGACATGCTTCTAGTGTATGTCGTTTTTTTCCTCTTTTCCATTTTTTGAACAGATTCATCATCCAATTCAGTAGACACCTTAGATTATACTAATACAGGGAAACTTAAACAACAATATACATCATCATTTATACCGAAAAAGGATTCCAAATAGGAAGTTCTTAAAATGCTTATCGCTTTACCAGTATTCTTTCCCGTATATATAGATATATATATTTTTGCCAAATTTTTACTAGAATTGTAACAAGTTTCTCAATGAACATTTTTTTAATGATTAACTTTTGAATTTGAATTCTGTCGAGAATGTGTAATAATACTTATCTGAATAAATATTTGAACAGTGTTTTGTTGTTGTTGTGAGAATTGGTCAATTCGGGAATTTTATTTTAGTGTATTAAATGTTCTTTCAGATCTGTTAACGAAATCTTCAGTGTAATAATTTTAGCATTACCCAAACAGGATATGAAGTTTTAGCCTTATGTTTACCCATAAAGCAAGCCGATACTTAAATGAAGACTATAGTTTTGTTTAGGAATCGGATGCTAGGTAAGAATGGCAGATCAATAGACTCAGTAGTGACACTTCATCAGTTGAGGTGGTTGGGACATGTGTTGCGTATGCCTAACCACCGACTGCCTCGACGAGCTTTGTTTTGTAGTGTAGGAGTAGGTTGGAAGAAAGTTAGGGACGGCCAAACCAAAACATGGCAGAAATCCATGAAGTCATTGACGAGTGGATTTAGCCATGTCGGTAATTGTCGACTACCTGGTTGGGGTCGGCGAGATGATAATAATCGATGGTTAGAGACCTTGAATGACATGGCTCAAAATCGTTTGCAATGGCGCCGGTGCATTTATTCTTTGTGTTCTCTCAAATCCTAATCTGGATTCTTCAACAACTCTAGTTTTTTGACTTTCTAAACTTTTCTCACTGAATCATACTTCTTGAATAACAGCTTCTAATCCTAACCTCTCCGATTACTCCTAATACCTTTACTACCTCTTCTACTATTGAATTTGAATTGACAATTACATCTCTGTGCTGATGTGGTATGGCAACATGAACTGATGTACTTACGTACGAAGTTCTACGTTGCATCTGACTGATAGTTTTGTTTATCTGTTACAATATGTAGATTTTAAATACAGTTCTTTGTCACAAATTTATTATGTTTGACAATTGATATGCATGAACTACTATGAGTTCACCTTAGTCGGTAAACGAGAGCTAAGACAAATGATCCAGTGACACGATAGGCTACTCTAATCCGAGCGTCCTAAGCCCCCACTAATGGTATCAAAAAGTGTATTCTACAAGCACCCAGAAAATATGAGGTTTTGTACAGAAGAAGAAGAGGAGCCTAAAAATTTACAGACAATGCATATTGATATAGTTCGGTTGACTGTGCATACTAACCAATAGGAAAGAACATTTAAAAGTATGTGAATTTGTTAGTTTAGGACGACCTTAAATATTGACCAATAGAATCGGAATCACAAAATAATTTCTTTAGGATATTTGCTGATATCCTAACAATATTACGTCTACCGATTGATGTAATAACTTGTTCCCTAATGCAAAATCGAAATTACACGTCATCGAAACGCAAGTTCGTTGTACATGAAATTCGTTACTAACAAATTGTAAGTAGTTTAATGCAAGACACTAAAATTTCCCAAACTGGCTAATCTGACCCATTAAACCTTGACCACTTACCCATACCATCGCACCATCGTGGAGAACGGAAAATAACAGGACGAATAAGTCAGATTAATGTCAGTCACTCTGAGGAAGGGTTCATCAGAATGAGCGTTAGCTGTACATATGTTACAGCTCTTTGAAATGTTTATTGCTCACACCGTAGACTGACCAAACACACCTACATCTAACTTCAGCGGTAGTCATGCACAATCAACTCTTTGAAGTTATGTATGATCGAAATCTAGAAATTAGCACATCTAGTACTTCGAGAAGAGCCTTATCCTAACCAGAATTACTGTTCCATTTCTCAGGCTTTCCATTGACGGATAAAAGCATGATGAGCTCCGTGTACTTGTTTCGCTCAAACCAGTAAGACCTGAGAGGACCTTCAGAGCGAATAGCGTTAATCTACTCAACTACTTCACTTTCCACGGTCAAACTATGGATTTATGTGAACCAGCATGGTGATAACAACAAGCATTTAGTGACAGAACCACTTCCAAAACTGTTTACAGTCTCATCTTAGATGTTTATGAGTCTACATGCGGTCAATATCATCACTGGACAGAACTACATACTTCAAGTCAACAACTTCATTTCTTGGTGGGAAATCGGATTCTGTTCGTCAAACAATAAAAATACCATCTATTTAGTTAATATAAAGTACGATTTCGACTAATACCGCCTGAACTCTTTTTGATGTCAATGAACTGACATCCAAGTTACGAACAAGTTTAGATGAGCTGGACTGGTGTATTTTATGATTCTGACCAATCACCTAAATGCATGTGAGTAGTGTAATCCGCCTGGAACTCTTCACGGGGTTACTGCCGGTCCCAAGCACAGATAAAGCAGGAGGGTTGAACATCAGGGTTAGCGACCCCATCCTATAGGAAACTAACTCACTAAAAAACCTCATAGCAATTCAAATAGTTAAGTGTAATCGAGTATTGTTAATTCTCCAGAAGCGTATTATTGGCTTAAGACTCTCAAAATATTGAAAAAAAATAATATTGATCGGAAATAGTACATTTCTTAATCTCACCCTTTCTCCTGGTGATCGACTGGATTATGAAGACGTCGACGTCTGGAGGGAAGCACGGTATCAACTGGACAGTTAGGACGCAGCTGGACGATCTGGACTTCGCAGATGACCTGACTCTTCTATCGCACACGCAACAACAAATGCAAGAGAAGACGACCAGTGTAGCAGCAGCCTCAGTGGCAGCAGTAGGTCTCAACATACATAAACGATAAATCAAAATTCTCCGACGGCGCAACACAACATGCACCAACCAAATCACTCTTGATGGAGATGCCTTGGAGGACGTTAACACCTTTACATATCTTGGCAGCATCATCGACGAGAAAGGTGGATCGGATGCAGATGTGAGGGCGCGGATTGGCAAATCAAGGGTTGCATTTCTACAGTTGAAAAATATCTGGAACTCCAAACAACTTTCAACCAAAATCAAAATCAGGATTTCCAATACAAATGTCAAGACAGTTGTACTGTATGAAGCGGAAGCCTGGAGAACTACGAAAGGCATCATCCATATGATCCTAGTGTTTATTAACAGCTGTCTACGCAAAATACTTCGGATTCGTTGGCCAGACACCATCAGTAACAACGAACTGTGGGAGAAAACAAACCAGATTCCAGTGGATGAGGAAATCAGGAAGAAGCGGTGGAAGTGGATAGAACACACATTGCGGAAAGCACCTGACTGCGTCACAAGACAAGCCCCCACTCGGAACCCTCAAGGCAAAAAGAAAAGAGGGAGGCCAAGGAACACATTACGCCGAGAAATAGAGAAAGATATGAGTGGAATGAACAAACATTGGACAGAACTGGAGAAGGAAGCCCAGAACAGATTTGGTTGGCGAAAACTGGTGGGCAGCCTATGCTACATTGGGGGTAACAGGCGTAAGCAGTAAGTCAGTAAGTAAGTAAGTAAGTAAGGAAATAGTACATTTATGAACATAATATTGTGCACAAAAATAAACTTGATTAAGTACTTAGGCATCAAATCCTATTCTTATCTTTGAAAAAAACACTGTAAAATTGTTTAACAATTACTTCCCATTAAACATCAAATACTTACTTACTTACTACCAGTCAGCTGATTTAGCTAACTTAATTAGTTTTTAATTATCAATTCAATTCACTGTGGTGTATATTACAAATATGAAATTATATTTACTGTACACTATATTTACTACTATAAAATTTTATCAGTAGATTACTATGACAAATTAGAATCCATACTGGAAAAATAAATCAACCACAATCTATTTTAATTGTATACAATAAATCATGGGCAATTCTCTCTTTGTTACTTTTTTTTTTAGCTCATTTAAAGTGCATTCAACATTTTTTTCCTCTCTTCATTGAATATCTAACTATAAAATACTTCCTTTCTATGACTTTTTTTTATGAACTAGAAGTAAAAATGTGACATACCTTCTGTTAACTACTTACTTCTTACTTACTTACTTACTTATACGTGTGACTTCAGTGATGTATATTTTTAAAAAAAATATATTTTATTTACAATAATAATTGATAATAATTGATCATTGATCATTAAACCCAACAAAAATTGTTCTTGAACAATCATCATGCACACACAGGCATAATTTATCATCATCAGAAGAGAAGAAAAATTGAATTCTTATGATTAGAACGAACAAACACAATCAAACAAAATCGAATCAATAAAGTCATTGATTTTGTGGTATTGATTGATAAAAAATATAGTTTAAAAATTCTATGGATAAATAAATATTTGGATGAAATCATTGATAAGTGGAGTTGAGTCATGTTGGTAGATGTTGTAGACTACCTTGGTTTAGGGTCCACGAGACAAGGGTCACCAATAGACAGACAAACAGATACAACGCAGAATTTCGTACATAAGTACATCACTTCAGGTTGCCATACCACATTAGCATAGAGACGCAACTGTCAGTTCAAATCCAAGAGTGATAGCAATAATAGAAGTATTAGCAGTAATGGAGAAGATTAGGGAGCGAAGATATGATTCGAGAAGTATAATTCAGTAAGATAAATATAGAAGGAGAAAGGCAGAGATTATGAGGAATGCAGAAGCTTAGAATTTGAAAGAACACAAAGAGTGGATGTACCTGCGCTATTGCAAACGATTCTGAGCCATGTCATTCAAGGTCTCTAACCATCGGTGACTATCGTCTCGCGGACCCCAACCAGGTAGCGTAGATCTATCACACTGCACAGCTAAAGCAAACAATGTGAGTTCACGAAACGTCATTCCTGGTCTCCTGAAACCTCGTTCTAGACTACATGTTGAAGGTCACCAATGGTTAGACACGTTGAACAACATGGCTCAGAATCATTTGCAATGACGCAAATGGATCCACTCTTTGTGTTTTGTCAAATTCTAACCTTCTGAATTCTTCATCATCACTATCTTTCTCTTTCTAAAGTGTTCTTAATAGATTATACTTTTCGAATTTTATCTTCGCTCCCTAATCTTCGCCATTAATGCTAATACTTCTACTATCCCTATCACCCATGGATTTGAACTGACAGTTGCGTTTCTATGCTAATGCGGTATGGTAACCTGACGTGATGTACTTACGTGCGAAGTTCTGCGTTGTATCTA